ACTTCATCATTTTCGAGTGTTTCAGTAAATGTACCTAAATTAGGCTAGTAATCATTTTTTAGTAATAAAAATTTGTACCTGATGAAACATTAAGTGTAAATGAAGATGATGATGGATGAATCAAAAATTGCCAATTGAGTGTACTTGGAATTCGAGCTCGATGACTTGTACCTATCTTAGACAAGTTAAAATTTGAAAAGTGAAAAAGAAACTAGCTGACCATTTTCACCATTGTAGAGACCATTCATATAGATAAAATCACTAAAGACAACAGTGGCCACATGGCCATTACCAACATAAGGCATCATACGATAGTCGAGCACAGAGCCATTCCATGGCAATCTAAATTGATCTTGAAATTGTTTATACATCAACAGTTTTATGAAACTATTCACTTGTTCGTAGTAAAAGTAGTCGTGAAATCTTTTCGATCAATCTGAGCTGTTCGTGTTAAAATATAGAGTGACAATAGAACAAAGAGAAACAGCATGCTGATTACAATAACAAGTGATTGTGGTTTCTTTTTGTTTCGATCATTATTATTACAACTGACTATCATGTAAATCTTGAGTAAATAGTAATTGATGCAACAAGTGTCGATCAGCATTCAACAAAATTTAAAGATGGATTTACTGATTGTTTTTTTGTATTGTGAATCTGTTGATTATTCTCTATTTATCTTTTGTTATCCTGTTGAGCTCGGATGTAAAAGAACAAGAACATATACATCGTGTCAATCCGCATCGCCAGGTAACAGTTTTATTCTGTTTTGCACAGTGAAAAAGAAGATTATATCTCAGGTGTTTTTATGTGTGGCTGCGCAGGAGAGAAAATTTTCAATGTTAAGTATTTCTATTATGGCGACATTGTTCATTAAAAAAAACCATGAAGATGTCGCTACCTCACCCATTCCTTTGACAATATAAATCTTATGAAGAATTTCTATTGCTCTGAAGAAGCATTGCCTTTCGTAACAGAAAAAAAAGCAAGTGTGCTCTCTCTTGTCTAACTATCAAAGCTCAAAACCTATTCCTTATGTAAAAAATCTAGTTCTACAGGCAAATGTGGTTGTTGGCAGAAGTGCCAACCATTCTCTCTTTTTTTATCTCAATCCTGTCTAACTTAAAGTGATTTCAAACGAAAGCTGATATCTATGCTCAACTTTTGTTTAAGCGAAATTTTGAAATTTGATTTCGTTCATTTTCTATCACTATTATAATAGACTTAGAGTTAAAATAAACCTATAAGAAAAAAGTGACTCTCTACAATACGAAATCCTACTTGCCTCCACATAGAGTTTAAATATAAAAAAAAAGAAGCGACTTAACAAAAATTTACGCTTGCTTAAAGTTTCATAATAACAAAATTTTGGTTATATTGTGAACCATGTGGGCAAAACTGTCTGGGTAAACACGAGACATTAGGATCTAAATCTTCTCCAATAAGTCAATTTAAATTTGGCTATTTTGCAACAAAACCATATTTATTCAGAAGGACCGGACTTCGGTGTGTCTTTCTATGACAAAAACTTTATTTTTTATTTTTTTTTCAAAAAATTGGCTTTTCTAAGTGTTAATATAAGCAAAGAAATATATTAAATAATACATCAGAATTCGTATTTTACAACAAAACATTTGCTGACATGTAAACAAATAAACATGTATTAAATGTTCGAGTACTAAACTTGAGTAAATTGACCTTGAGTTTGAAGGCCTCAACTGGCTATAATGTTCGATACACATCGCAAAGTAACATCAATTCAATGATTAGACATAGATGCAGCTTTTTGGTCGATTTATATACAAATAGAATGTTCTTGTTCATGTCTGAGTAATAGATTGCAATATAACAATAAGCTATCTTGAACATATAAATTATGAAGGAAAATCATTGTCAGCTGTATCTATGGACAAAACACGATCAAATAAAAAAAGCGATGCATCATTCATGTTTTTGTTATGCCATAAAATAAGACTAGCCTACACATGAACTGATCATCATAATCAAAGAAAAACATAGCAAAAGGTCAACTCGATCGATTTCGACTGTAGTAAAGTAGACAATGTCACGAACATAAGTTAAAAATTAAACTTTCACTATTAACCAAAGCTTGGTTTTCACGATTTTTTTTAGTATACAATGTATTCAGAATAACTATTGATTAAACTGATGTAATAGAACATAATGATGTACCATGAAATATGCTACAATAAAAAGATTATTTTATATATGCAACTTTAGTACTCAAAAATAGACAAGAATTCTGTCTGTCCCAATTTCGATACTGGGAGAAGTTTTTATTTTTTTTTCTGGTAGACGATGAAGTTGTTTTCTTATTTCTGTGATTAGTAACGCATACCGAAGGTCACAATCGATGGCTGAAGTTTAGATCTATTGATATGTATATTGATTATATTTTGTTCACCTTGACGTTATTTGTTAGAGAGACGTACGAACTTCATAATAACAAATCACATCTGTATAAATGTATCACTCAACCCAAAGAAATGACGTATGAATATATACGATAAGTGGTTATGCGAATGATTGATGATGGCATGACATCGATTCAAATTGCTTAATAATTACGAAACTTGAGCAAGACAACAAAGTTAGAAGCTATCATTCATTAATTGATGAAATAAGAAAAGGAATTCTCCGTGTGCCGACAAATGATATTGTTCCCATCATCAAAAATTGGTCATACAGAACTTTGTCCATGTTGAAAAGTAAGGATGCATATATTTTGTTTTTCAATAAAATATATTAGATGATGAAAACTAAAACAAAATATAAAACGCGACCATTCATTCTGATCTATAGTAAAATAATCGTATTATTTCTAATTGCAGATCTTCAAGCGTAAGCATTTTTATTTTTATGAAAGCCTACGAATTTGATTTGATTAGTTTGTCTCTGTCGTACAAATTAGTGTTTATAAATAATCAATACTTGGCAAAGAATTACTTCAAATTAGCTTATTTATCTAGACATAAACAAAGTTTACACTTCATTTATTCATATCTTAAAGATCTCAAACGATTAATCGAATAAGAACTTACTATGACATCATCACATTCATTCTAACTGAAGCAAAAAACACGTAGAATTAAATAAGTCCAATATCTTTTTTTTTTTGTTATAACTTGTAAATTAACTTTCCATTATATCAAATTAAAGTGGCTTACAGATACTATTAATATTGTAAATTTTGACTGTATTATTAATCTTTGTTTTCATAGGAAGAGAAAGAATCTTCTTTTTAATATTTAAACACTTCAAAGATATCCAGATAATACATAAACTCAAAAAAAAAATATTCTTGAAAAAGTATACATAATATTAACATAAAATGCATTGATGTCTTTTACGTTGTTTCATTTTTGGATATTTTCCTAAACCAGCTCGTATAGCAATATCAAAAACTCGTATTAAATTTTTTTGTGTTAATGCTGAACATTCCATAAAAGCAACAGCACCAATTTCTTCTGCCATCATTAAACCTTTTTGTGTACTAATTGGTGTTAATTTTCGAGTCTATTTAATATAAATATAAAAACAAAATATTTCAAAAAACTTAAAAATTTTCTTTTACCAAAAGTTTATTTATTGTATTTTTATCATCGAGTAAATCTAATTTTGTACCAACGAGAACAATTGGTGTATCCACATTATTATTTTTTATTTCTGGTAACCATTTTGCACGAACATTATCAAATGATATTGGATTAATTACACTGTAACAAATAAGAAATACATCAGTTTGAGGATAGGATAATGGTCGAAGACGATCGTAATCTAATAACAATAACAAAAAACAACAACTAAGAATTATTTTATAATTTTATTTTATTTGATAAGCATATACCTTCTTGACCAGCCTAAAAGCAAAAAAAATCAATGATATATAATTAAAAATAAAATATCACAACAATCATTACCGTATCCCATAAACCAAGATTGACAGGTTCATTATCAACCATTATGTTTGCTGAATAATTATCGAATCTATTTAATGAGATAGTAGAAATTGATGAATATTCAGATTTATTTAACTTACACTGTTGGGATGTATTCTCCTGGGCTAGAAACAAGTATATAAAATAAAACAAACTTAAGGCAACAAAAAGAAAACTTACAAAGCATTTGTAGTATATGACATAAGTAGACAAGTTTTACCCACAGCACCATCTCCTACTACAACACATTTAACATTGCGATAAATACTCATTGGTTTAAATTTATTAACGATGGTCAAAACTATTCACACACTGTTTCAAATATAAGATAAGAATATTACTTCTTTATGATATTCATATCAAAGAATGAGAGAAGTACATATATGTACAAGTATATATGCATATATATATATATGTATACATACATATCTGTATGTTATTCTGCTCGTTCTGCTCTTGAGAGATAGAGTTCATAGTTGTGTGAATTCTTCGTCTCTCACCGAGTGTACAATAATACATCATCGTTTGTGTAGTGACGACCGCTTCCTTTACAGTAATATTCACTCATATTGAACGACATTTTTTTGCCATTCTTCTATGTGAACTTGTTCTTTTTTTTCTTTTTCTTCCTATCTTGTGATGCGCCTACGAGAAGAAAAATGAATACAAATTAAGTACGATGATTTATCAAGGTAGATTAGAGAATTATTACTTCATAGAACAAATAAAAATCTATTTCCAGATAAACTTTATGGAGTTATTTTTTTGTCATCAAGTGTGTGACACAGAACTAACATATCTGCTGTATTTTTCTCATTGACTTAATATAAAAGTAGATATTATCTAATTTAAATATGCATATCCATTTTTTTTTTCTCCAATGTCAATTACTCTCTTATCGTTTTTCATTCTTTCAATGATTCATTGTGTTTTATGTCAATAGAAAAACTTCTCTCTTTATCATTAGAAGTGTACTGATAAAAGTAACTTACTCAGTAAACATTCTTTCAGTTCTTTTTTTCTAACAAACACGAAAAAAATATGCAACAACGACAATTGATTATTTTTGTTTTGTTCATTACAGTTACGTACGGAACACAGATCAATTATTTTGAGCCTGAAGCAATTTCATCAATTCTTCCAGATCCAATCACTATTTTTGCTAATTTAATTCAGTAAGTGATCTTTTGTCATTCTTATATTTTATCTATTAAAAATTTCTAGATTATGGACTAATGTAACAGATTGTCCATCACCATCTTGTCAATGTCAAGTAATAGCTAATGTCACTAGTGATCATGATGTTTATCCTGTAAAATTTTTGTCTGACAAGCCAAATATAGGCGCTGCTGACGTTGATGATCTTCAACCAGATACATTATATTCATTTACTTTAAGCTGTATTGGAAGTAATGAGACAATCACACGTTACAATCGTACAGATTATGGTCGTCCATCAGCACCACAAAATATTACAGTTATACTAAACTCTAAACGTCTCACATTATTCTGGTCACCTCCGTTAAAACCAGCTGGACCCGTTAATAATTATAGATTAATTATTGATCAATCTCCAGCTATAGATAATATACCAAACAGTCAATTCTCTTATAATATGAAAGAAGATTATATTTATGGACAAAAACATGTATTTTATCTGCTAGCTTGTAATATAAATCGTCAAAATATATCAGAATGTTCAAATCCAAATGATGGTGAAACTAGTTTTATTATGTCAATGACAACGACATCTACACAAGTAACAAATACACCAAAGAACGCCTCATGTAGTAGTCTATGTTCTTCAAAGATTTTTCTAATTTTCATCTTTTGTTTCTTTCTATTTAATTGAATGATATATTAAAATAATTAAGATTAACCTTTATTTTTTTTTAACATAAAATAAATAAATAAATGACTATAATTATAAAATGATGCAAAATGTGATATTCCTTGTCTATTGATACATGTGATTACAAAAAAATTATCATTACTTAGATTGCTTATGTTTTGATATTGAGAGTAAGACACATTGAAATATACGACTTATGCGAGAAAGTCTTGAATTGATATTTCTTTGCCCATTAATACATCTCAGTCAGAATAGTGAAACACTGTAACTCTCAAGAGCGCTTTGACATTCTATCGAAAGTTATAGGTATTTTAATGAGTTTTCACGATATAAACAAGATATTGAAATCAAACATCTAATGATCAGATTTCAATTTAAAATTTTGTTCAAATATATACGTAATAACCATAAGAATATTCTGAAAGTTTTGATCAAATACAACTCTTGCTTCTTCAAATATAAGATTTTTAGGAAAAATCGGTTTTGCTGAAATACGTATGTAATATGGGCTGTACTTGCAAACCAATGTCTAGAATAAAAACATTTCATTTGACCGAAACTTGAGAACTTCCTATGGGTCATTCGATGCAGATATGAAGAATATTTTCGTTTAGAATATCTTACTCAGCTGTTGAAAACTCATCGAAATAGCCTTCGAAAGAGTACCATAATGCATAGTATTTATTATTATAATTAGCAATACTTCTAAATTTTACATATTTTATTAGATCTATAAATATGTTCACAATAAATAAAGTTTTGACTTCATTTAGTTGAACTGTAACGACTTTACAAGAATAGAAACTGGTGATAATCTACTCAACTGCAAGAACCATTCAAAAAAGCTCACATTTCTGTAAATTTCTTCTTTCCGAACAAAAATTATTTTGATTTTTTGTTTATACTTAGAACAATACACCTCACGAAGATGAAATTTGTTTTTTTGGCAGTTCGCTCGTGGAAAACAGTATGATGGTGCACTTAGTGATTTGTTTTCTTGATTCATTAAAACAGTATAATTTCTACAACTTTGACAATATAAGAAGCTAACATACTAACGACAATCTATAGCTCAAACTTTAATAATACGCCTATTATTTGAATTTTTTATAATAATATAGTAGTGTTTCCAAATGTGATATCGCCATTATTCAAAACAAATCATGTCTATCAATGTTGGATACATGAAAATATTTAAAAAAATTTCAAATAAGTTTCGATATTATTTGTATTTAGAAAATACTCTACTCAACTTTAGCAAAACATGATCCGTTTTAGTTGTATTCACTGTCGGTATGCTAATGATAAGACGAGCAAACATGTTAGATGAAAACTCACGAAAAATAATATCGGAAGCTATCATACAACGTCGTAGAAACGCTTTAAAGATATTTTTCGTGATTATAATATTTTTTTTAGATGATGAAAAGTACTTTAAGATAAACATTTCTCATTTTTTTTGTTTTGTTTTCTTTTCAGCAATTTATTTGATACTTGATATTTCTTTGTTCTACATTCGAAAAATCATAATGAGTTTCGATTGAGATTTGAAGTCACATAGTATCACTGTTGAAAATTCATCATACACTTTATCAATTAATATATTGAGATACAGTCTTTAATCAATCCCTAGTTCGTTCTCATTTTCATACTAGCGGCTACATAGACTCATTTTATGAAGTCGATCATGTCTGCTATCTTCGTATATTTTGGTTTTCTGTTGGTAATAGCCTTAGAAAAAATAAAACTGAAAAGTTTCGTATCGAATGAGATATAGGTAAAAACTCTGTCACATTTTTCCTATTGTTCTTCTATATGGGATGTCAAGAAAGTGTTGAACGAAAGAAAAATTTAAATATCTTTGTAGTATTTTGATCTGATGGACTGATATTTTTACTACTGATAGAGGAGTGTTTACAGCTCATATCCACAGAAGAAGCCTTAACAAAACTTATTTTGAAGCATCTCAATTCACTTCAATAAAGATCTATAACTTTTCACGAATCATTTCGTCTCAAATATATACAGCAGATACATGTCTTGCTACTGTTTGTACATGGAAAGTTTCAATAATTAATAGAATGCATTGAGTGAGAAAAGTGTCATATTGTTTTTCTATTCATAATCCGTGAATGGATATAGTTCTTTGTCGAAGTCAGTTGTGATGCTTCGAAATAAGGTTTATTAATGCTTCCTTTGTGAATATGAGCTATGAACACTCCTGTATCAGTGATACAAATATCAACCAATTGTATCAAAATCTTGCAGAGATATTTAAATTTTTCTCAGGTTAAAGACTTTCTGGACACTCTATCCAGATTTTTTTGTCTTTTTCTTTCATCTTATCATACGCCTTCTAAAAAAAACATGGTTGTAAATAAAATAGGATAGCTTGTCAGGCTCGGTTAAACAGTTACTACTTTATAGAATATATATAATCTATTTTCAGATGGAGTTTATCGAGTTAGTTTTGACGTTAAGTGTATCACACTGAGCTAAGCATCTGTTGTATTTATGCATCTTAGTTAATATAAAACCTGATACTGATCGATTTCAAGCAAGCATTTCCTTTTCCTCTAATGTCAATTTATCTATCTCTTATTATTTTTAGTTTTTCAATGATTCATGTTGTTTTATATCAATAGAAAATCTTTTCTCTTTAATTATCATTAAAAAAGTGCATATAAAGGAAGCCTACTAAGTGAAGATTTTTCACTTTTGTTTTCTAACAGACAAGAGAAATATGCAACAACATAGATTGATGATTTTTATTTTATTCATTACAGTTACTTGTGCAACACAAATAGACTATTTCGGCCCTGAATCATATGTAGAAGATTGGATTGTTCAAACTACTATTTTTCCTTAACTTATTCAATAAGTGAATCCTTTTGTTTTTTCATGTTTTATATAGTGAATTTTGAAAGATTATGGAGTAATGTGACAGATTGTCCACCACCATCTTGCGACTGTGAAGTAAGAAGTAATTCCACCGATGACAATGATAATGATGCTTTTCCTATAGAATTTATGTCTAATAAGCCAAATATAGGCTCTGCTGACGTTGGTGATCTTCAACCAGATACATTATATTCATTTACTTTAAGCTGTATTGAAAGTAATGAGACAATCACACGTTATATTCGAACAGATAATGGATATCCATCAGCACCGCAAAATATTACAGTGCAATTAAATTCTAAACATCTCACTTTATTCTGGTCATTTCCGTTATTACCAGCTGGATCAATTAATCATTATAAATTAATTTTAAATAGACAAGTGCTACGTAATAATATATCGAACAGTCAATTCTCTTATAATATGACAGAAGATTATATTTATGGACAAAAAGATGTATTTTATCTTCAAGCTTGTAATATAAATTATCAAAATCAGTCACTATGTTCGCATCCAAATGATGGTATGGCTACCTTTTATATGCCAATGACAACAACAACATCTACGCAAGAAACAAGTACACAGAAGAACGCCTCATGTAGTCTATGTTCTTCAAAGCTTTTTCTAATTTTAATTTTTTGTTTCCTCTTATTCATTTCAATTATATATTAAAATAATTTAGACAAACTTTTTTTTTTCTTTATCATAACATAAATAAATCTGTAAATATATATATAAGGTGATATAAAAAGTGGCATTTTTTCTCTATTTTGTGAAAACATTACAGTCAAATCGAACTCAACTTATAGCTTTCCTTTTACAATGATAGCTCGCATGAATTTTTGTCATCGGGAAAACTATTTTAATTCTTCCTTCCGTACACATACATATTTTATCTGAAAGCTTAAAAAAAGATATATAATTCTCGTCAATTACTGAGGAGTTACTCACTACAAGTTTTTCATTTGGATTCTTGTGACACTCTGAATATATATTCACATTTTATTCGACTTATTCTGCCAATGACAAATAAAATTTATAGTTATGCGAATTATTTATCTATCGCCAAACACCAAAGAATGTATGATCATTTAAGCACAGACAACTGCTTCTTTTACAGTAAGATTCAATCCTAATGAATGATATTTTTCTTTTATTATTCTCCTATAAAGATTTTATTATTTTTATTTTTCTCTCATTTTATGAGCGTCTTACTAGAAAAAACATGATTGTAAAGTAAGTGATTTATGTTCTGTCATTGAGTGCATCACATTGAGTTAAGTATCTACTGTATTTATTCAATTCACTTAATATAAAATCTTATACTGACCTATTTAAAACAAGCGTTTCCTTTTCCTTGAATTTCAATTTACCTTTTTCTTGTTGTTTTTAGTTTTTCCATGATTTATAGTGCTATATGTCAATAGACAACCTTTTCTTTCTCATTTTCATTAAAAGTATGCTGATCGAAGTAGTTTACTAATTGAAGCCTTTTTTTTCACTTTTATTTTCTCATGGACAAGAGAAACATGCAACATCAATAATCGATTATTTTTATTTTATTCATCACAGTTACTTACACAATACAAATCAACTATTTCGATACTGAATTATTTCAAGATAATTTGCAGGTTGTAAATTTTGTTTAGACTAATTTCATTAGGTGAGAAAATCCTTTTATTTTATTGTATTTTATCTACTAAATATTTAAAGATTAATGATTCACGTAACCGATTGTCGATCAGTATCATGTGAATGCGAAGTAAGAAGTAATCGCACCCATGTTGAAACTGTGGAATTTTTCGATGACGTATCAAACACAGGCTCTGTTCATTGAGACAATCACACGTTACATTCGAACACCTAATGGACGTCCATCACCACCATAAAATATCACAGTTAAATTAAACTCTAAACGTCTAACATTATTTTGGTCGCCTTCCTCAAAACAAGCTGGACCAATTCATAATTATAAGTTAACTATTAATCAACAAGTGCTTATAAATAATATATCAAACAGTCAATTTTCTTATTATATGATTGAAGCTTATATCTATGGAATAAAACATGTAATTTTATCTTCAAGCTTGTAATATAAATCATGAAAATTTACAACTTTGTTCAGATCGAAATAACGGTAACGCTAGTTTTTTATGCCAATTACAACAACACCTAGACAAGAAACAAATAGAGAAGAGAATGCATCATACATTCTGTCTTCTTCAAAACTATTTCTAATTTTTACTTTTTGTTTACTTCTATTCAATGAAATGATATACAAAAAAAAAAATTTTTGATTAACCTTTATTTTCTTTCGTATAAAACAATCCGATGAGGAACATATTATTATTGCTGAACATAAAAAACTCGTTCAGATGATCAAGAATACAATGTTTTAAACACAACAATTTTCGTACCTAATGATTGAAAGAAAAATTTGATCTGTTTTCTCTGTATATGTGCATAGTTTAAAACAATAAACTTATTCGATATGAGCAGTTAGATCAATGATTTAACAATACTCATTTATTTATATACAACTAAGATAGAAATGTATTTGAGATAAAACACAATTGAATTAGGCATATTTATTGTTCAGAAGAATATTAATACATAGCCGCATACTAAACCAAAGACATTTTCTTTCCGTATTTAAAAACAACCTATGGTATTTAGTTTCAATTTCGAGATTATTCATTTCTTGAAACAAACCAAGACTAAAGACGTATAGTTCTTTCATTATTACATTGATGAGACTTTTCTAAATTAAAATCTCTCTTCTTAATTAAGTTTTTATCTATTTCTATCTAATTTCTAATTCTTTTTGTTAAAGCATTGTGGAAAAAATTCTGCGAGATGGTACTGTATTTTCTCAATCACAGAACTAAGTATCACTGGAATAAAATCCAGATTGAGAAGATATATTGAAATATTATCTACCGGAAAAATAGCACGAATAGATTTGAATCTTTTCGTATATTGTTGTTCTTTTCTTACAGTATCTGTGTTCAGTATGTCTTCAAAACAACAATATACTTGGTCATATACACACGCATTTGTTAATCTTCTCACACTGACTGTTTGATATTCATTATCAATCATACAAATTAATGTGAAAGATATCATCGATCTAAAGGAATGATCCTCAAATAATAATCATCAGTCAGAAATACATGAAGAGTATCCACGAAAAGAATTCAATAAAACTGTGATTTCTCTCGTCATGTTTAAAGTAAATTACAGTGACCATGATAGTAACCGAGGTATACCTTTTAATAATCACGGTATTTTATATTGCGGTTTGAAAAAAATCGCGGTCAAGAAGCTCTACGCGTCGTATCGTGGTTCTATATTCAATGCGGTACGAAGTACAGCATTGATGTAGTGCTTTGTGTACGCAGCCAACTTCCATATTTTGTGACGCGATGGCCTCGAGAACCAAACCTCAGAAAATAATCATTGATATGCGAAATCCAAGCATCGAGATCGAACCAATAATTGCTTTGGAATGCTTCTCTAAAGCAACTTCGGTTCCCTCAGAGTTATCTTCTGAAAATTACAAATTACGAAGGAGTTTACGCTCTTTTAATCTCGAATCAATGAAAACTAAAATAGAGAAAAAGTTAGGTGCCATTCTCTGTGCTCATATGTGAAACAGCTGTTAATGCGGTTGATAACAGATAACGAATTATAGAGATAATTAAAACTATCAATCAAAAATGTTCTTCAGAAACATGTAGATACTCTTTGATAAAATTCCTGTAGAGATAGAAGCGTGTACACACCTTCACCGAAAATAACACGCATTGATCCTAGAATCGATTACTCGTTTTTTATCGAATACGGGTTTTTTTTCGAAATATCCACATTTCGTGCTTCGCACTGCATTTCGTATTCGAGAGAATCTTGAACACCACTGATGTGAGGATTTCTTAGTCAAAAGAGAACGACTCTTCAACTTCGAATATGTTACTTGATAAATTAAATATAATGTCGCTAATTATATCTATTCAATTTCAATCTATATATTGGAGATCTCGTATAACTTACGAAGATAACAATTAAGGAAATTCTTTATGCTTTCACATATATGAGGTTGTTCTTATAGAGATGAAAAAGAATCAAAATTTAAAAAATTTTTCAATTATTTAAAAAAAAACATTTTTGATCATTTTGGAGTGTGGACGTATGATTTGCCGTGGAATGATGAAACTGTTCGAGAATATTTGCTTTTACACTAGTTTTGATTAAACATCTGATGATTGATGCTAGAATTTATCTATTTTTGTCTAAGATATTTTCTGCTTTTGAAGTAATATTAATGTTAATTAAGTTTCATTTTTACTCATTAGTTAATTCAAGTTTTTTCTTGCAAAGCTAGCTGGTGTCGTAATATCATTCTTTTCTTAATTAGTTGAACAATCGAATCATGCGTATAAAACAGATATTAGATAGTAGAAAGAGGTCAAAAAAATGTTCATATTAAGAGTACTAATACTATATTGTTCTCATCAATTAATAACTATTAAATCTTCTCTAGCTGAACTAAACATGTCCTAAAGTCATGTTTCAAATGGAAGAATGATCTATCGACAACAATATCATCTTGAAGAAGCAAGTCTGTATTTATAAAAAGAAAACACTTTTTCTTAATTATCTATTCCTGTAACTGAGAAATATTCTTTTTGGTCCATTGATTGTTTGCTTTTTTTTATTCTTTAGATGGAATGATTTGTGTAAAAACTTAACTAATTATATACACAAACGAATGAACTGATCAAATTCTAACTGTTGCACATCGTTTTCAGGTATAATATGCAGAGAATTGGGTTAAAATGTTACCAACATTAATATTAACTGATTCAGTTATTGCTACAAATTCATATACACGTCCAAATAAACTAGAAGGATGATCATTATTAAGAAAAATGGTTTCATTGAATTCAATTGAATATTCATGGCCACTACTATCAAGTGATGATAGTACAACATCAACAAGTTATTATACTCCAACACGTAATATGTCAAGACCAATATTAGAATAATCAATTAATAACGTTACAATAGAAAATGGCGAATAATTATGGTGATAATCCATTAAAAGAATATTTCTTAAAAATATCTAATGCAAGAAAAAAAGTAAAATAATGAATATATACAACGACGAATTTTACCAGCAATAACAGCAGTCTTTGTTTCTTTCGAACTACCATCTATACCTGATAAGTCATTACAAATAGTAATTATAAATTCAACATCAATATCTTTATCATAAAGACTATTAATATCAATCAAGTGATATAACTTACAATTCAATTTTATTCTTTTCTTGTTTGTGCATTAAAAATATCAAAGCATAAACCGTACATATACAATTAATAGCTACATATGAAATAAATACCAAAGATAGTTGGAGAGGATTTATTTTCTGTTAAAGATTTTAACAAAAACAAAACCTATTTTATTTAGTTCTACTAACAAAAATCTATGATGCTGAAATCAAGAAAGGTAAAGGACCACTCAATAACTACAACATTATAACAAGATAAAACTGATGTTATAATAGTTTATGGATTTGAAGTATGGGATTTCGAACAACACTCATGAAATAGACGTATAGCATCATCAAAAACTCAGCCTTATTTATGCATTTTAAAGAACGATATATTCTAAATTATTTTGTAAAAAAATAGCATGTTGGATTTTTTCAAAGATGAGGAAATCTTAATAATTCATTACAAACATGTACATGTTTTGTAACGCGATTTAACATCAGATATACAATATATAGACTGTTTTTTACAAATTAAACTAAAGCTTTGAATAGAACATGTTCACATAATTGTTGATCTTGAAGGTGTGGATGCGGGTGTGACTTATAAAATGACAAAAAAAATGATGTTATCTAGATCATTTTTATGAAATTGCTTTTCCTGAGAAAAACGATGTCGTGTAAAATTAATCATTCAAAAAGCATGAAAATAACATGATAAGAAGGATGAAAAAGAAAGTCCTTTAATTCATTTTCTTTGATATAACTATCTAGTCAGATGGATAGTATAAAAATATCTAATAAACTTAGAAAAATCATGGCATGACATATTTTCTATCCTTACAACGTCCGTTTTTTCAAGACTTCTATGTGCAAGAACTATAATTTGTAAAAAGGATTCAAATTTATCATTCTCACGTTTAATTTTTTAAGAACAATCGTGACAAACGATGTATTTTGCACAAAAGACATCGATTAAAACGATTTTTCTCTGAAAAATTCATACAAATTATTTATCGTTTGGAAAATGATTGAAATTTCATATTTCAAAAATAAAAGTAATTCGTACAAAACTAATGAAAGTAATGAAGAAATCTTAGTTTTCGAAAATAATCATCATTATGCAATGAAAATGATGTCAAA